TCAGCAATCACAATTTTATGTTCATTATAAAACAATATTTCCTATACTCCAGTTACTGTTCATTATGTTATCTAATTCTCTCCCTTTCCCTGTTTGATAGACTGTATCAATTATTTTGTATACAAAGAATGTCATTTTAGATTTTGGAAACAGATAAAATTTACTAAGGCGAATAGCCTACTTGTTCTGACTTCGGCTAAACAACGGTTAACAGTTCGATAGTTTAGAGAACAACTTAGAATTATACCCGTGGAAAATTGCCTCCTACACCGCATTTGTTGATGGGTATGGGGTAGGAAGATCAGGTCGTCTGCGAAGTCCAAATCGTCTGGCTTCATCCGACCTGTCTGCTGTGTTCCGTGGTCCCCTTCGATATCCAGGCCTTCATAATCCTGTTAAACATCAGAAGAGAAAGCTTCCGTATCTGACCCCATTCTCCACTGGCAACGCGCCTGTCAACTATCCTCCGTAGACCACTTTGCAGTGTAGTCCGTCGTATGAATTCTGCATGGTGTTCATATTGTTTATTCTGATTAGTGTTTTATAAACAGGGTTGTTTTCTACGGAGCGGAATTGCCGACCCTCCTCCAGCCCTCCCACTTTGTGTAGTCTTGCGACCGGCATTAACTTTAGAATAGCTACAGGAAGATTTCAGTAACCACAACAGACAAACCCGTAAATCATGTGGTAAATTTGGTGGAAGATGGAGAATAATCTTAACCATTTCGTTCAAGTCAACGTAATGTCTCGCATCCACAAAATGAGCAGTAATAGGGCTCCTAATCACTCTTATCTGTCATTTATTCAACCATGACGGTGTTCTGATACATGATGACGGAATGGCCTAAATGTACGCCATATATAAATGGTTCAACATGAATAGTTGAATTGGTAAATAAACATGGATTTGGCAAATCTGAATGGTCTGTCTTCAATGTTTGCTTTCCTTGTCGGGCGGTTACGGAAGACAACATTCAATTTGGCTGAAGTAAATATTATCTGCTTCTCATTTCTTAACTTCCGGGTTACAAAGTCCTTGATAACATCGTTAAGGAATTGTGATTCTTCGGAACCGTAGATACATTTGATCATCTCATCGCACTCATATGTTTGTTGATTAATTTCGTTGGATATCTCTTCTTATTATGCAGGTTACAATGTTACTCAATTCATATACAATGGTGTCGACAGAGCCGATCATTCTAGCACTATCAGCCAGAATGTGTACTGAGTTTCTTCTATATCCGACTGGTACAGCACTATAGAAATGAGTATACTGTTCAACTACAGATTTTCAGTCTATCCCTCTTTTCGATGTTTCACCTACTCTTCTTGTTAGTTGGACATCTAGAAACGATATGCCATTGCTCTGTTCTTTCTCAAATGTGAAGTAATAGATGAATGAATTTTGTCAAATATATTAAGTAAATTATCCTTCTCATATTCTTTTTATCCCATTCGATGAAGGTTTTATCTACGTAGCGATAGAAAGATATTATATGGATGACTACGTGCCTAATTGGTCCATTTTCAAGTTTTTAGAAAAAGCAGTGTGCCAGGACAGGGCTCAATGGTGACCAAATGGCTACAACATTCAATAGTCGATGGTATTCATTGGACATTTTCGGACAGTTAAGAGCTAAATGTATTATTGCAGATACGAAAATTAAAGTTTGTATATGGCTCTCTATTAGTTCACTACAAATCAAATACACTGTTTCCAATAGTGGAATGGCACTGAATAAAGACAATACATCTAATTATATTATGATGTTATTTTTCACCGATAGAGTTTTCATGCTATCCACAAATTTAAGGGAGTCTTTGATACTACGCTCTACAATTTCTTTATGTAACGGTGTTGGAGGCCCGTAGTTTGATTTTGTCCCCATCTAGATCGACGATATTCGTTGGAGGGCTCACCACTTTAGGTGGCCCGTGGTTCTCGACTCCATTTTAGATTGTATGGATGTTTGTTGTCGCCTTTTCTCGTATATCATCGTCGACTTAAATCACGTTAGTCAATAACGGGATTTAGATAAGTCAATTAACGAGAATGGCCTTTGAATACATATATTTTGTATTTAAAGTGAATGTAATAGAACAGAGCAAAATGACACACAGGGAAGATGGCTGGGAAGCCAACTCCATTTTAGTAAAGCGTTACTCAATATTTATAGTCAGACAAAATTAAGCTACAGACATGTGATTAATGGAATAAGAAGGGCACACACATATACGCTCATGTAAAAATAGTCAAGGCTAATCAGCGAATAATTAACAAGGTCAAAATATGACTCAAGTAGAATGAATAGAATGGAATGTCCGGAAACTAGAATAAGATATGTTATGGGCTAAAACTAATCACTAACACTACAACGGTTTGTGAATTCGAACTGATCATTTTACTACAGCATGATAGGCGTAATTTGAGTAGAAGAGTCCACAATATCGGTAGAATTTTAGTTGGATGCCGGCTCAGTGGTCTAATGGTTAGGTGCTCGCGCGCGAAGCCAGCAGGTCCTGGGTTCGAGCCCCGGGTGGCGCGGGGTCGTGGATGCGCACTGCTGAGGAGTCCCATACTAGGACGAAACGGCCGTCCAGTGCTTCCAGGTTTTCAATGGTGGTCTAGCTTCAACTGACTCATGAGTTCAATCTGTGAGAATTTTAGTGTTTATTGTAATCGTTTTAGTAATCATTACAGTTTTACACCGTTCACTTGGTACTTTCACAAAATCTGTTTTGTTGATAAACTTTAAATATGAAACTATTCATTATATTATAATTTTAATATTTTACTTCCTTTGTCAAATTTATTTCAAGTTCATCAAACTGACGCACATGTGATTGTAAATAATGATGTTGTCTATTAAAAATGTATATACACACTTTACAGAATTGAACTCAGTGGTGATTGAAGGTCTATGCAATATCACACCACTAAGACGCTGTGAATTCCACATATTTTCAAATAAATCTGAGTTTCTTTTTCATTGTGTTTGTTGACACTAAGCAAATCATTTTTGATATTAGATTTTCAACGATTGGTGGCAATATATAAAGAATAAAAATTCAAAAGAACAGCTATAGTAAAGATGAAGCATTTGATATTATTTCATATAAACGTGTTGCCTTTAGTTCTATGTGCCTCCATGAAAGTTGGTAAGTCTTTCAACATTTGTCATTATCATTTCATGTACATAGTAATTACAAAATCTTCGGTGAATTGTGTCGATGTTTATGGTGTACAAAGTTTGTCAATTTCAAAAAAATTTGACTGAATGAAATTGTTGATATTTGAGTTCAAACAAATCAAATACTTGTCGATGTATTTCAGTTAACATTCACATGCCTCTAGGCACTTTTCATTGATAATGGAAGTTTAGAAGGAAGTGTTCTCTTGAAAAAGTCTATTAAGACAGCAGACAAATATTCAGGACCAATAGAACCGTAAAGTCGAGTGAATTGTTATGAAACCTCTACTTAACCGATGTAAGAATTGTTTCAATATTTCGACGTCTGAGGATGTGACATCTGAGTTGGTCCGATTGGTTTCAAGTACAGTTAGTTTTATAAGATGACAAAGGTTTAGTTGAAACAGAACGAATTAGCTTAAAATGAAAGTGAAGGTGTTTATGTGATGATTAAATTTGGAAAGATACGCTGATCATCCTGTTGGTGTGTAAACAATATCGGGTGGCTGTGTATTACGATGTGAATTGGTTAATAATACCAACATAGTTTACATGTTGTTAATGTCACGTGATTTTGCAAATTATCAGAAATATTGTGAACGACTTACTCGATCGACGTAATTGCAGACTGTGTTCTATTACGTTTTCGTAAACGATCAAACGTAAAACGAAGAACAACATCTCCTATTATCATTGTGTCACTTCGTGTATTTGTTTGCATTCTGAACTAAACTTAATTATGTTTAAATTGTAGTTGGTGCAAAACCATATAGTTTGGACGATTTTAAGGGCAGTTTACAAAGATTAACGGGTAACTGTGTTGTAGATTCATAAGTATTTCATACTCTTGGTTATCATATGTGAATGAGCAAATTGCATACACAAATGAGCATTCAAGCCTCAAATACACAGTTTTCTTTCTCATTGAGTTCATTCTCCATCAGTGTGATTCATTGCTCCCATTCACTTGTAGTAACAATTAAATAAACGTCTATTCAGTGAATATACGAAGTCAGTTACAATTCGAATAATTGGAATCGTCCCTTAATTTCATGAACTTGATTCACTTAAAATGCTGAATTTAAATATTTCTATAACTCAGAACCAACACATCTAAACCAGATATTTGAAGTGACTGAATTTGATGGAATACAATTAAGGATTAGAGGAATGTCTGAAGAGAGTGGGCAAGTATCAAACGACGATTCGAGCAAATTATGAAATTGAAGAACTGTCTTTATATATATAGATATCAGTACAGTATTTGTAATGGATAAACAGATACAGAAGCAAATATAAAAATAACTGAAGGTAGTTACACATACAGACACATAGAAAAATAGAAAGATCCTTGGATCAATAGACAGACAGATGGATGAAAATACAAATGGATTGCTAGACAGATAATTAGATTGACAGAAAGACAATACATAGATAGATAATCACGATCGATTGATCACTGAGTGGCGGATCAATGTCATGCGTGTCTAGTCCTTATTAATGCAGATCGAATGCTATCGATCATGTTGCAATGTGGCCACCAGTCTAGGTGACTCGACACTGCGTGCAGACAGAGATAGATAGAGACAGATAAACAGATAGACGGATGTGTGAATAGATGGATAGTCTGATAGATAGATAGAGAGAGAGATAAACAGATTTGTTGATGGATAGTTGTTTAGGTAGACAGAGTGTTATGTTGATTGATTGATTGATTGATTGATTGATAGATAGTGTGGAATATATGATCGTTGAATATGTTCAATCAATGTCACGTTCCTATTGTTTCTATTTCATTTTCTATCCATGTATGATTTTCTTGCTAGACGTCATGGATATACAATCATCTCTTTGCATATGCACATTCTTCCCTTATGTAATCACTTCATATTTCAACTGTATCTTGTGTTCAATTGTTAGATAATTTGAAGAGAGATGAATTGGTTCTTTCCAGATTTAACAATGAAATAAAGAAACAAATAAGTAATTTATTCACAAATTCATTCATGTTAATAACATGTATTTTTCAGCATAGGTAGTTTATATTTCGATAAACATTGTATTGTAATTGTTTGTTGATTGTACTCATCACAATATGTGGAATGCACTAGTGATTAAGATGAACAGTGAAATTCTAATGGTAGGTTGCGACGACTACCTGGACACACGTTCAGTGAATAAATCAACTTACTCTTTCAAATTAATAAATGTGAAACAGTCAGAACATGTTAAATTAGCCATGTGATATTCAACGATATGTAGGGTTGATTTCCTTTTGACTATTTTCGCCTGACGGTAGTATATTTATATCGGGTAGTCAGTCTGGTACAACGCAGAACCAGGCACATATTTGCTACTTCCACGTTGCCACACCTCATTAACACAACATGATGGCGGTAGTTAATATATTGACGTGATAAAGTATCATTTTTATCTTTATTTTGTAAAACATTTAATGAAACAATTTATACTATTTTTACTTAATATTCTCTGATGCAGCGTGATAATTAGATATTCACCGTTTATCATAAATTTTAGATTTGGTTGTCAAGAAGTTCTTAAATGATCGTGAAAAGGTCACTAAATGTATGTAAATGGAATGATAGAGCATTAATCACATTGATGAATTGTAGATGTGAACTGCATGAAATTTGCTACTAAACAGTACTGGATGCCAGAAATAATACAAGGTGTGTGAAAACATTTTCAAATATCTTGTTTCATATTTGATAAAATGAAGGATTTGCTTTCGATGAGCCAATCGTGCGCACTTTTAATGTGCACTAATCGTACAACATAGTTTAGGAATAAGAAATTCCCTTAATGACTGACGCACCACATTCAGACTAAACTGAGAATAGATGAGTAGACTGAGTGAAGTAAATAAACTCTTATTATTCCAGCATGTTTGTATTTCTCATCTTATTAGGATTCATAAAATGCGACACTTTTATCTGATCCACTCAGTGTTTGATGGAGACAGAAATAAAATTTTACGATAACTTTAATAAACTAATTATCTGAATGATTATACAGTAGATATGCATATACTATTCCGAAGAACACTGTTCGTTATCATTTGATGATTGGATGATGATGATGATAATGATAATGTATGTGTTCAGATCGTGATAATTTTCATACGTATCAGTTGCCAATCATCTACCTACTTCATCTGGAAACAAATATGCAGTCAGAGTTTAAGTGTCAACGTCAGAATTGAAACGAAGCAACATCCAGTTGACGAGACCAGATGAGTCCGGTCGCGTATCCCGGATTCTACTGTTTGATAAATTTCAAAAATAGATGAAAATCTATTATAGTAATTTGAGACGTTGACAAAGCCAATACACTGGTTACTAGTTACTACGAATCATTTAAACATATTTAAATCGTAGATTTCCAAACTGGTCTATTACACCTATTTTAAGTTGAAACAAATGCACTATTTCCATACACAATTGTGATGTTGATTTTCCTTGAAATATTTTAGAGTTTCAGGACGTAATATCTGACATCAACTCATACAGTATGTATTTGGATTACTTGATTTATTTGTTTAATCCTAGTCAATTATTTGACCAAAATGTGTTATATATTTCAGTTTATTAATTCCATAATCAAACTATGTATAAACGTATTACTGGTGAATAAAATCTATTTTTAGTCTGATATGTCATAGAGAATGATATCTATGTAAACTTGTACATGACTTAATATGAAGTCTATTTATTACTTAATTCTGGTACATGTAGAAATAGAAGTGCCGGAATCGTCGACTCTACACCAGTGTATCAACACAGAAATATCCAAATATAACGGTAATAGTTGTTATTCATAACTATTTAGTTAAATGTTGTAATTTAACGGTTTCTTTGTTTTCGAAATAACATGACCTGACGACATGTTTGAAAGTAAATAATTTTAGCTTCTTGTAACATCATTCCTCAGAAATTCATGTCACTGTCAGATGCTCATTCTTTCTGTTAGTTGAGTAGCTAAATCTACGTAAGTGATAGGTCATGAAATTTACTCGCTCCTCACCATTTCAAATTCATAATAGGAATTGCACACGAACGGATTGTTTAATTGAGAGATGAATAACATGCACAATCAATAGACATTTTGTACTGAAAATCCTATGAACTCGGGGTGTAAATCAAATATTAAATTGTGAAACTACGAACATATGACTTCATGAGTACCGATAACATATTCCATTCCCAGTTTACTACGAAACATGCGAGTGTAATACTTTCATTCAGTAGTAGTTCCACTACTTGAAGTATGAATACGAGTCGAATGACAGACAATTTATGCGTAATTTGTATAGTGAGACTGCTCAACAGTCAATATATCCCAAATGATAACTTGATAGTTTTTCAGAGTGATGGAAAAGAGTGTGATCCCGTTTATCAACCTGCAAATGTAATTCGACAGTAGCACTCAAATCAATGTTATTTTGTAAATATAGTCAGTTGATAGTATTATAGTATTGAAGAAGGCTGCACATCTGTGCATGAGATATATGAACTAACAGATAATTGCGCTGAGAAGCGTCTTTATCCAAAAAACTTATAGATGAGGTTGAAATCAAAATTATTCATTTAAGGACTAATGTTTACTGGGAGACATGAAATCAGTGTTTGTTTGGAACGTCTTAACCTATTGCTAATTTATCAGTTGCTCATGAACATGAATATTTTACACGACTGAATGCTGAGGTAATTCTCGTTTTATTATGAATGTTAAGCAGCTTTATGGAAGTGATCTGAGCTCTTTTGAATATGAAGTGACACGATTTGACACTATAATCGTGTTTTTACTTTGAAAACATGTATTTTGGCTTACATGAACAGTAACTGAATCTGACTGCCTACAATTGATGACCATCTCTTTCATTGGAGAAGTGTTTGATTAACCTGTAAAATAATGAGCTTAAATTTAAACGTTTCTAATTAAACAGTGTTAACAAACACAAGATGTGTAATACCTGAACCGAAAACTCATGAAGGTAAGCTGAAGTGAATCACACCTTGAATTATGATACATATTGTATATCCTGGATTTCTATCATAATGTGCACATGAAACGACTTGCAACAATTAACTGTTATGTCCATTCAAGTGAATTTTACTTAAACGATCAGAACTTAACTAGAGTTACTAAGAGGCTTCTGATTTATTGAACTGCATGAACTACATTTATCAGGGGACTTTCGTTCATACTATAGACTTTCTCCGTTTGTCTCTCAACTCTTGAAAAAGAGGAAGGGCATTAATTCCGAATATGGTAGACTCATCAATTTATTAATAAGTCGCATCGATAAATTCTTTTACAGTTTATAACAAAAAAAAGTATTTTTATTTGTTCTCAGTTATTCAAACAAGTGAACACATGGTAGACTCGGTAAAAGGATTGGATGGAGTGAAGGATTTTCTAATCAAATAATTTTTCACCATGACTATACTGCATTATGTACAGGAATGAAGTAATTCTCATCAAGTTGTTGGCTTACGTAACAATTATATAACGTCACGTTGATTACAAAATAATATTGAGTACTTGGAAGCAAAACGAAGTTAATAATCTAGGTAATTATTCTAAAAATTAGACAGTGGCTTCATTAGAACAGCTAACAAAATCATTTTATGAAAGTTCAGTACTACAGTAGTTGTGTGAGAATCAAAAGGCGGATTATGAGAATATGTAGAACGAATTTGGAAGCGATTAGAAAATTGTTTATGAAAGAAAGGACTTAATCATAGTTCAGCTAATAACTCATACTTATACCACCGACCAATATAGGGAGAGTGATTATAAAACCTTATTTTGAATAGAAATGTTTTGATTACGAACGTGAAATATATACGCACTTACACCTGCTACACATGATGGAGGAGCACATATCTCTCACCAGCATTCCACATCCAACTCTGTTCTAAGCAGTTATTTCCAGTTCCTTCCAGTCACTATTCATCATTTTCCTGTTCAATTATAATTCTTTGGCCTTCCTTATTTCCGTTTCTTCTCAAGATTTCAAATTAGCACTTGCCTCGTGATGCACTTTGATTATTTCCTCAACATGTATCCTATCCACTTCCAACCCCTTCTCCTAATTTCTTCATAAGCTTTGAGTTGGTTTGTTCTCTCTCATAGTAGGCTATGTGCTGATGGTACCAAGTCAACGGACATTAAGTACTTACGTAGACAGTTGTTCAGAAATACATGTACTTCTGTAGGATTTAATTTGTCTTACAGATATACTACCAGAACCGTAAACGCGATGCTGGCGAGCACAGAGTCTATGCGAACTTTATCTGTTTCTGAACGTAAAACAATTGGATTAGTACAATGATTAATGAAACTACAGTTATCAAGTGAAACACACAAACATACCAACCAGTATTACGTGCCTTATCGAAATGAATAAAATTAAGGATCACTTTATTATAATAAGATAGTAACGTCTTTCAATCGGTAGGTCACATGCGACAGGGATAGTTTACAGACACATCAGACCAGATCAACGTGGTAGGGGCTTAAACGACGATTTGATTGGTTAGTTATGGACATAACTAACAACTTCTTTGATGATGGTTGTGGTAGTTCTCCAAGTTTCAGCTCTGTACAGTAGGACTGTTTTGACGTTCGTATTGAAAATTGTGAATTTGTTACTGATATCGTTTAGTTGCACCCAACTTGTCTATTTTATTGTGTGCTTCCGCTCAGATTTCGAGGTCATCATAATCCTATCGATCAGCAGAAGACGAAAAAATGGGGTAGAAAGTAGTCTTATCTGACTACAGTCCCCACATGCAATGCGTCTGCCAGCTGTCCTTCATGAACCACTTTGCAGTGTAGTCTGTCGTATGAATTCCGTATAACGTTGACGATATTCTCATCTACTCACTTCATAGTGTCGGGAAAGATTCAATGATATTCTCGTGTCCACACTTTCAAGCACTTTCTCATAATCAAGAAAATCACTCAACAGTGATCCGTAATATTCCGACTTGGTCTGTACACTAGTGAAGTTGGGCGTTTACTGAGTTTTTAGTTCGGTTCAGAAACTTTCTGTTGACAGTATTTCCTGGTACCGATAGTGGTGTGATTTCTCTGCAGCTGCGTTTGCACACTTTCTCAGATCTCATTCTTTTGTTGCCTTGATGAGGTATTCATGTTACCAGTCCACAGGCACTTGTTCCTGCCCAAATCTTCCTGATTAGAAAGTGAGGCATGTTTTTTGAGGCATTCTACCCATCTGTTCCTCCGTTCCTGTTTCTTATTCATAATCCTAGCTTTTTTGTCGTTGAACGGTCTCTCTGGTTTGCCATATTTCCCAGGCAATATCTTCGTTTTGTCGTATAGTTGTCTGATATTTCCTTCTCTTACAGTTTCGTCCACTGTCGTTGATAGGTCTTCCATTTATTTCTGCATGTTAGCTCGAATGCTCCTCTTCAGTTGGTTGTATGCACCTGTGTATTCATTTTGTGCCTTTACATTCTCTGTTTTTGTTCGGTGGTTGTTAATTGCTGTCCTATTGTTCTTTCCTTCTTGAATCTCGTCCACAGTTGTCATGAAGATTCACTCCCTATGACTGATGATCTAGGTTGCGGCCAGCAACTCTCGACACGTTGCAGTTAGTGCCTCTTTGAACACTTTCCAGTCGTTCTACATAGTAGTCTCCTCTTGTTTCGGTGAATCCTGTAGGGCTTGGAACCTATTGTTGAGAGCTATTTTGAACTGCTTAAATTTGCCAGTCTGTGGAATGAAGGCTATATTGAGTCTTCGTAATGCCGTTTTTCCAGTTGTCCAATGTTCTTTTGGCTTCAGTTTCATCTTGTCTACAACCAGCTAGTGGTGATCCGAAGCTTTGTCAATACCTCTCCTGCTTCTCACGACTTCCATTGACCCTACGAGTGTTTTGCTGATGCAAATATGATCTATCTGGTTCTCTGTGGTGTGATCCGGTGAGACCCATGTGGCTTTGTGTACATGTTTATGTGAGAATATTCTGCCGCTTATAACCGGTTTGTCGATTGAACATTCTATTCTATCATTCAGTCCCTGTCGTCTCATGATATCGTCAAAACCGTTTTTGTCCATTCTGACCTTGACACTTAGACCTCCCATCAGGATTGTCAGGTCGTTTATTGGGCACCTCGCTATGATCGTTTGCAGTGTCTCATAAAACTTATCTTTATCGTTGTCATCTCCATAATTTTTGGTGCATAAAATTCGATAGGACTTACTGTATGCCCTCCTCCTTTGTCTTGACGGATGACTTGATGATCCTGGATCCATGAGATTTTCATTCTGTGAGTGCATTTATGCCACTTTGGATAGCATGAGCATTGTTAATTAGGACTTGGACATTTTCGGACAATTAAGAGCTAAATGTTTTATTGCAGATAAGGAAATTAAATTTTGTATATGGCTCTCTATTAGTTCACTACAAATCAAATACACTGTTTCCAATAGTGGAATGGCACTGAATAAAGACATTACATCTAATTATATTATGATGTTATTTTTCACCAATAGAGTTTTCATACTATCCACAAATTTAAGGGAGTCTTTGATACTACGCTCTACAATTTCTTTATGTAACGGTTTGTGAATTCGAACTGATCATTTTACTACAGCATGATAGGCGTAATTTGAGTAGAAGAGTCCACAATATCGGTAGAATTTTAGTAGTTATTGTAATCGTTTTAGTAATCATTACAGTTTTACACCGTTCACTTGGTACTTTCATTATATCTATTTTGCTGATGAACTTTAAATATGAAACTATTCATTATATTATAATTTTAATATTTTACTTCCTTTGTCAAATTTATTTCAAGTTCATCAAACTGATGTGGTTGTATATAATAATTATGTGTAACATTTTGTGAATTTGAAACTGAACATATCATGATAGGCTGAACTATTTGTAGATGAAATTTACTTCCATGTATATTTTTCAGACTATATAGCTTTACAGTTATCGTCCCAATATTTTTCAACTTTTGGTAAACATTTTCCAAATTGTAACGTTGTTCAATCTGTTATATTGATTCCATTATTTGGTAGAGAGTATATTTAAGTGGAATATATGAATATGCTTTCAATTTTCAAATATGAATATCTTTTGATATTTTCCAGATATTTTCCGATTGTCTACATTGGTTAGCGAGATATACGAAGTTATGAAGAATTACAATATACATTTATGTACGTTATACTCAACCAAATTTTTTTGAAGGATAAATTTGACCCAATAAACAGTTTGCTTGTGAAACGTATAGTGTTTATGTAAGCGTTGGATTGTTATTCAAAACTGGTTTGTATGTTCACTGAATAACGTACTCAAAGTAAAGTATCTAAATGTACCATTAAATGAAACACAAGTCACATATTACCATTCAATATATCATAAAACATTTTGCGAAATTGTTCGGTGAAATCACATCACTCATTACACTTTAAAATGAGTCACTCAGTGTTTGTTTGGAAACATTTTAGTGAAACATCGTCTTCTAACAAATATTGTCAATGAAGTTAATCGTCGAAATACAAAAGTGCGAATTGTGAGTCGATTAAATATGTTTCATCGACCAAATACTTTCGTGTAATTATCAGTTATATATTGTATGGAAAATGAATTTACTAATGATTTTAATTGATGCAAGTGTCAAACACAATTTGATCATAATTGTGGCGATCACTATTGCGGTTGTAAATCACATCTTGAATTCCGTCATAAGCCAAAATCCCAATGTCTGTTTATTATTTTCGAATAAACAGTGAAAGACACCGAGGAGAGTTCGACAACACAATCAAATAAAAATCTTGATTATTTCGTTTGAATTCGGATAATTTACGGTGAAATCTATTTCAGTTTGTCCAGTTGGTAAATAAATTTAATTGTGATCATTTGAGTTGAAACGATAAATAATTTAACACATTCGTTATTGATTACACGAATCAGATACCACTTTATAACTGTGATTCTTTCGCATGATTCTAATAAATTTACATGCATGATTTTATTTAGTCTAGATGATGCTCGAAAGTTGTCGAAGTCACGTTTCAAAATGATGATGATAATCATTGTGAATTATTTGGTTAATTTCGTTTGGAAATCCTCACGATAACTGATTTAACAAGTGTTCTATTGCTCTTCTTCTTCTTCTTCTTTTTGAGTCGTTCTAATGTTGATATGTTGCACTTACAAGCAAGTAAAATTTCGAGAATACTGCAAGACATACTGTAACCTTATTTTGATGAACTCAATTACCAAGCACATTATTATGCAATCATTTGCTTACTCTTCGATAATCCACTTTATTTGTTCAATTATCACAATTGTGCTTTGACACCTTGCTTGAATGAATATAAATTTTTCTGTCGTTGCCGATTTGTTATTTCTCAAGACACTTTGTGATCATCTTGGTGGTTAATAGGAGTTTTAGAATTTCCAGGAATCATTTACGAGTTGCGATCAAGCTATTTCCATATGTCAGATCGTGTTCAAAAATTATGTTACCAGAGTAAATAGTAATTAAGTACACAGAAAATTTTCTTGACTTCCATGTTCCAAATGCATATTCACCACATAACAATATAGTCATGTAACTACTCAATGATTCATATAGGACTATATGGATTTAGCTGAACCATTCTTCTTATTCAGCCTATCTTGACAAACTGCAGATGATTGTCTGCAGTAAAACTTGATATTCTATCTACTTGAATGTACCCATGCAAGTTCATATTGAACAGATATTACAAACAATTTTGACAATTTCGATGATGACTGTTGGGTAATTGGAAGCCAGTTTAGCATTCTCGGACAGTGGAATAAACCAATAAAATTCGATAACGTTTTACAGATTTGTGTGAGTGGTGAGAATAGGATTGAGCTGCACGAGTTATTAAAATTGAGTTGTAGCTCAAGCAGAGTAGTGGAAAGTCGACTGCTTTAAAAGATGATCATTCGATCGAATGGACGGAAATAGTTTATAACAAGAGTTATGTGTCGTTGAATAGAAGTAACGATGAGTCAGTGAAGAAAAGTTTCTTTTCTACAAAACCACTTAAGCTGTACATTCGTATTTATGTTTGTTTATTCAATATCTATGTTTACAAAAAGATGGTAAAAGTTGCATCGCGATGTGACTAAAGAATGAGGTGACGTAATAATCAGGGAGTTAGAGAGTAATAGATAGATAAAAATAATTTGTGGGTCAAAATAATGAAGGATGATTGTTCACCTGACAGATAAGAAGAATAACGAAGAACAAAACAACTGAATGATAATCATGAAAATTTTTAAAGAATATTAATGACCGATTTCGGTTTAAAATTGCAAAACTCGAATAGAACATACTACAGAAGGGAATCAGGATCAGCGAAGGATGAAACTTCGGACGCATCATTTTTTCACACAGAGTTCGGTCATGAATAGGTGGATCACCAAAGCCTCAACAGCGAACAATTTTTCGATTTTGTCTACCTTGGATCTTGTTCATTTGATGGTGTGAATTATTTTAAAGGAGGAAGCTTATGTATAGACATGATCTGAGTACTCCTGTGTTGAACTTGTGATAATCATCAACATATGATGGAAAACAAACTTAGGCTAGAAACAGAACGATATATGCCATCTGAATAAAAGAATTAAGACAACACGATTTATGACCATGTCATCTATTGCGTTATTAGAACTTATTCCCTTTATGCTCAATCTGACTGATATATGAAAATTCGTATGCTGACATCCTAGGTTGGCTTCTTATTTATGGATCACATTAGGAAACCGCCTGACCTTCTTTTCAACCTGACATCAAGATAATCAAAATCCTCGTTCACCTCAGCTAAAAATGCGTATTGAATTGTGTGGTGACATTTATTGATTCGATTCAAAACTTCATTCACGTTCATATCTTCTCCATAAATAATGAGATTATCATACATATATCTCTTATGTGAATCACGTCTCTCAATTATTGGTTTAAGCACCTTATTTTCCACATTGCTCTTGAAACATTCAGTCAAAAGTGAGCCCAATGGTGAACTCATTGCAACCCAATCATTTTGTCCGTAGATATCAATATTAAATCTGAATTGCCTATTGAGGGTACTTCTTAGGAGTCGCCCTTTTAGATTACGTTTTGATATACACATACCAAAGTTGTTATTTCAATATTGTCACATAAATGCTCATAGATTCTGTGCATGGAACATTTATAAATATAGAATAGACGTCCACTGAGGTCATTTATCTACCATTTACACCGATATTTCTGAGTCGAAAGAATCAAACAAATCATGAGAGTTGTAACTATTGATGTGATTTCTGACGGGTCTTACAAGATCAGCTAACCATTTAACAATCAAATAATACGAAGAGCTATTCATCTCAAATATGGAACGTATGAGAACATTGTTCTTATGAAATTTCGGCAGCCCGTATAGTGTCGTAACAGATGAATCCGATGGTCTGGAATGTTCATAGAGGTCGCAGTTGACAATAAACTCATCTTTCATCCTCTTTGGAATTTCAAATAACATCTGGTGCATTTTTCCACTTACATCCTTTTGGATGGTTTCACTAGAGAATTTAGAAGCATCCGATAATGCTGAGGATAATTCGGTAGCATTTTCATGACGATCCATAATGACAATTTCTGCACAATTATCTGGGAGACAGCACTAAATTCTGCTTCTCCAGAAGACTAACTAATCGAGACTTATATACTTTTGTGAGCAATAGCCCAGCTGTAGATATTGTGTTCACCACGTTATTACAACAGTCTGCAAGAGTTGTCATGAAATGCTCATAATCCTTATTAGATACGGGCCAAGTTTATGTGCCTCATGAGTGAGGCTTTCATGCTGAATTTTAGCGTTGAGTTTGTTAATGTTAGCCAGCGGATTGCAAAGTTTTTCACCAAGTGATGATTTTTGTAGCTGAATAGTCGGTAAATTTACACTAGAGTAATTGAATACGCATTTCAGTTGAACCTGTTATGTAAGAGTTGAATAATTTTCTCCGAATATATGAATGAAGTTGCGTTAAGGTTTAACAAGTTTGTAACGTTCATTCACCGAAGCACGTTGCCTGCACTTTCAGCCTCCATGAGTGCTTTAGCACTTCCTTTTTAGTTTTGCATGCGGAGGATTGGAAGGAGAGTGTACTGCAGGTACTCTACAGTCAAGTTGTCTGTTTAGCATCATACAGAATTAATATCGTCCTTTGGTCAGCTGCAGGACAGTAACGCTGTTGATAGCAACGAAACATGAATTATTATAACAACATTATGGTTACGATTAAACGAAACAGGTTATTGTTTGCGGGGATACTAGGTTAACGTCGCTTCAACCTGATAATGTAGTAATCGTCGAGGGTAATCCCGTATTGATTAGTCAATAGGCAAAATCGGTTAGTTTTTTCTTACGTTGGTGCCATCAAACTCTCAATGTAACCATTCCTTTCCAGTGTCATGGATATATTTATGTGTTTAGTAGTTATCCAGGGGTTTTATGGGGAGCCGTTGGTAGTGCATAATTCTTGTGCATAGCTGTCACCATCTGCAACTGGTTGATCATCAATACCTCTAGGCGGAAACCCAGGTATATTAACGATGACATATGTAAAAAAGAGACTGGTAAATCGTAATAAGATGCTATCCTCAGTCCTTAAGAATAGGTCAAGTTTCCTCTGAAAGGACTTCTGGGAATTCGCTTGAACTAGTTTAGCCGGCAAAGAATTCCAGCATTTGATAAGCTTTAAGGAGTAGAAGTTGTATCTACAGTCCGTTCTGCTATGTTGTATATCCAATTTCTGGGTGTTACTCCTTAGTTTTGTATCGGGACTAAGCTTAAGTAGGTGTTTAAGGGGATGCTCAGAAGCGTTAAGAATATTGCAAGCTATCAGAAGGTCACCTCTATGACGCCTATACTCTAATGAGTAAAGGTTAAGTGATCGGAGGCGCTCTTCATGAGGTTTGGATTTGAGTACCCAAACTGACTTCTTCGCTCGCCGTTGGATACGCTCCAGAGTGTCCTTAATTTTTTGAAGTGAGGGAGGAAATACTATGTTTTCCTACTCTAAATAGGGACAAATAAAACTGTTGAAACTTATGTGTAAAGTTCTTCCGCCAAACTGGCCAAAAATGCGTCTCGGTGTTACCAGTGCAAGGTTTGTTCGAAAGGCATTTCTGTCACAGTTAGCGTAATACTTCAAATCATAGAGCATCAGGACTCCTAAATCTTTTTCGACTTGGGATACTTCTAGAGCGGAGTTTCTTAAGTTGTATCTGTAATCTGCGGCATGTCACAGATGAACTACTTTACACTTTGAAATGTTGAAGGTAAGTCCGTCATCGTCTTCTCAACTTTGAAATCGAGTCAGGTCCTCCTGAAGTGCCTGTATATCGTCTTCGTTGCGCCTTTCTCTCCAAAGTTTCACGTCGTTAGCAAATAGTAATACGTCTGGCGATACCTGTTGTGGAAGATTATTTATATAGATGAAGAAGAGAAGAGGTCTTAGTACTGAGCCCTGGGAGACCACACTAGGATATTCCATAGCCTGAGATAAAGTAAAGTTTGCCCTGACCTTGAAATGCCGATTTTGTAGGTATGAAATGAGCCAGTCAATTAGAGGTGGACGTTTGAGCTTAGTGATAAGACATCTATGGTTGATACTATCAAAAGCCTGTGCAGTAAGAAATCCCAATGAGCATCCACGTCGAGTTGAGGGTGGGCATCTCAATCCACCTGTTGTAGATAGTCCTGTAGAGCTAACACATTCAACGGCTCGAAATTCCAGCGCCTGTTGTTGGTGGAATATCTTAGCTCAGTTTTGCTGACAAACTGAGGGCTATAACGGCATATGAAAACACAAAAGCTGAGTGGTCAACCTGTCAAAAATCTTTTGACAAACATAGAAGTACATTTCCTCCGAAAAGGACTGAATTACACAGCAAGTGACGCTTCAAAACTATGATTCCTCTCTACACTGGACTCATCACTCAAAACTAGAGGAATAGGTGAAA